CCACGGCGCTAGTCGCTGGCCCCGCAGGGGCTAGCTACATGCGACCGTGTTTTTTCTTTTAGAAAAACCACGGCGCTAGTCGCTGGCTTTTATTAAAGCCAGCGGAATGCGACCGTGTCCGGGCTTTTGTTAAAGCCCGGCCACGGCGCTAGTCGCTGGCCCGGGCCAGTTGCATTAATTTGTAATCTTAGTAAGGTGAGAACGTAAAACCCTCACTGAGCGACTGAGTGGGCACTCACTCAGGCTAGTGTTAATTCTCAATTTAATACTTGTAAGCGATTAAGTTTCACTACTGTGTGCTTGCAAAACGATAATGACGGTTAAGTGCGATCGAGGGAGGGCAGTGCCCCCCCCCTTTCGGGGAGAAAAATAGAATGAAATTTATACTCGCTTAGCCATGTAACATCATCGTGAATCAATCCAAGCCTGTCGATATACTAAGATAGTCACCATCCAGTGCATAAGTGCCATTACGTGGTCGTCGTTGGGTGCCCAACCCTTTAGGGTTGGGCGCCCAACCCGCGCCCCCCTACCGTTCCCCATAGGGGAACGGGACCAGGGGAGGGGGGGCTGGCGTAGCCCTCCCCGAATGGGGGGAGCCCGGAGGGGTTTTACTAATCCCCGGGGGACCGAAGGGCGACCAAGTCCGCCGGTCCCCCGGGGGCCGTAAAACTTCAATGAAATTTGGATTTTTATACGTATGGGTCTGAGGCTTAGATTCGGTAGGCTATCCATTTTTTTAAAACTAATTTTAGATAAATAGGTACTTCATCCGCTGGAGTAGTGCCCCCCTTACAGAGACTTAGCTTAATGGTTAAGATTTTGATCAAGCATGATCATGAATATTAGGTTCGATTCCTATAGTCTCTAAATATAAATATAAGTCAATATCACAATTCTGAAATATTTAATCTAATCATAAACAAATCATACATTAGAAATTCAATATAAGATAAAGAGGTAAGGACCCATCCTTGGGTTATATGGTATCATTCTCGCAAGTCATGATTGTTTCATGTGCAAAATCTTGTATAAATCTCACTTGTTTCCACGCTGCGCGTGGTTTTTTGATCCATTTAGTGCCCCCCGGGAGACAAGGGGACAACGGTCCCGCCTCCCGGGGTTTATATTAAATAAAAAAACGATTATTATTATTACACGGCCCCCCTCCCCTTAGGGGGGGGGGGACCGGCGGACTTGGTCGCCCTCCGGTCGTTTTTCCCCCCTCCGCTCCTGGGTAAGCTTACCCAGGAGCCGATGGGGAGACAAACCCCCGGGGGAACTTAAACTATGCCTAATTTGACTAATTTTTTATCTTTTTCCTAAAAATTCAAAGATCTTTCCTAAATACTAATGACGCACGTATTTTTCTTCTACCTTCCTAGGTAGCCCTCCCCTGTCCCCTGGGTAAGAAAATATGGCAAATTAAGGCCACCCCGGGTGGGGTTACCTCCATAGTGGTGGCTGCTTTGCCCCCCCTCCCTCGGCTCTTGGTGTAAGCTTACCCAAGAGCGGAGGGGGGGCGAGGATATAAATTACGAACAAATAGAGCCCCCGGCGGCCCGGTGGGACGGTATATACTCATCTATTTTTATTTATAATAAAGTATAATATTCAAGATATTACTATATTAGCTAGGAATTGGATAACTTTTACTGGACGTCCTCTCACGATGCCCCTTGAGTTGTAATTTTGTGATTTCTCTTTATACCCCGGGGGGACCGGAGGGCGACCAAGTCCGCCGGTCCCCCCGGGGCCGTAACAAGTACTTTAGATTTTCTTGTTAATTGTTGTTAAGTTGTAATGGTTTGAATTTTAATTTTAATCATGATTTTAGTGATCCCCTTATCTTCCCTTCGGATTAACGCTATTTATTTTTGTTATAAGTAACAAGAATTATTTTTGGTTCTCTTGTAAAAATTAAGTTATAAGGGTTTAATTAACATTTTAATTCTGATGTTATTGAACATCGGATCCTACCTTCCTATAACGCCTTAAATAGGAGTGTTATCGGCCGTATACCATTCAGAGAAGGCTAATCCCCTAACCTCTGAGCGAAAATATATATATATATATATTTTTAATTTTTATATTATATATAATATAAAAATCGATAGGAAGGGTCTATGGTATTGCGTACACCCCGATCGATTTTTATATATATATAAAAATAGAAAAATATATTAATATTTTTAGATAAGGTGGCTATTCAAAAATTAGTCATTCAATTCTGTTGAGGCCCTTCGGGGCATGCGGGGGTTCCATGGGTTTAGCCTAGCCTGCCACTGCCGTCAAATTGGACTGAGTCCCTTAAAGAGGCCAAGGAAATCCTTCATGGGCAATCAGGCGTTTACTGCATGGTTTGTCAAGAGACAGGATCGATGTCTAAAATCTATTATATATAGATTTTCCATCTCTACATTGTAGAGATGGATCGGGAGCTCGTGTGATATGAGTGAACGATTGGTGAGCCATATCTTAATTACAGGAGCAATCTGCATCTCCAAAGAGCAATCGCTCTTTATGGTCTCTCTTCCTTTGTATTCATTGTCGTGGAGTTTTGTAGGCCCGCTTCCGAGCGACTAGCGCCGTACCTCCGAGGGGGGCGACACTTTTATAAAAGCATCTAGAATATATAAGTAAAGGTGTATCATCAGGATCCACCCTAAGTATAATATCTATTAAGGCCCCAATCCCAGGGACCCTTCATCTTTACTATTTTGAAGTTAAAAATAATAGACTGGCAAATCACACGGAGCCTCAAAGGGCGACTCTCTGTTTTACTATTCATCAGACTCGGGAGAGTACTGGTTGCATTAAGTGCAGGATAAAACTAAGAGTATTAGGTTTATAAGGTTTAAGGCAATATTGAATTATGGACTTTTTATATGTATTTGAAAATATTGTAGGCCACAAAGCTGAGATTCTTGCTACACTTGGTGGCCTAGGGGGTGTTTATATGTTCGTTAATATTTTAAATGGTAAGAGCTATGTAGGCTCAACCACTAATTTTCGTAATAGATTCAATGGGCATTATTATGGAACTTGTTCTGCACATTGCGTTACAAAACGCTTTTGCAAAATACGGAAAGATGAATTTTTCTTTTATCATTTTAGCTGCCCCAAAGGGGCTGCAGCGAAGCAAGCTTCGCAGCTATTGTTCCTCCTATTAAATGGGTTTTATTATTTCTTGAGCAGTTAGCTTTAGATTTTATCAAACCTGCTTATAATTTTTTAAAAATTGCTGGAACATCTTTGGGGGCTGTCAGAGCTCCATTTTCATCTGAACATCGAGCAAAAATTAGTGCAGCCAATTCTCGTAGAACAGGGTATAATAATCCAATGTATGGCCTGGTGGCGGCTAACGCTATAGGTGTATCAGTATTTACCGTAGATTTGGTACTAGTTCAGAGTTTCGCATCGAGAGATGCGGCAGCAGCTTGGTTGGGTGTTTCTGATATAACGGTACTTCGGTACATTCGCTCTGGAAAGGTTTTTAGAGGTAAGTATATTATTACGAATTATTCGCATTCTAACGATTCCACCTAATATAATATAAAGGCAGGCGTAGCCAGCCCGTTGTCAATACATTTTATGTTTTTGATGCTACAACAAAGCAATTAATCTCTAGTTATTTAGGTTTACGGGAAGCTTGTAGAGAAATGTCTATGAGCCACCATACGATTCGAAAACATATTGCTTCTGGTAAGGCATACAAAGGGATGATCTTAGTTATTCACCTGGGCCCGGGGGTCCTGGGTAAGCTTACACCAGGAGCCCCGGGACAATTTTATTTTTCTTTTTTGTAGTGTCCCCGGGCACACGGCGCTAGACGCTTGCTGCCCGGGGTGGGTATACATATATGCTTGATGTTTCTTTTTTAGCTATGGTAGTAATCTTATTGATTATGAGGGAGGGTTAGGGGTTTAGCTAATTATGTGGTGGAACCGGCTTTGTTCCCGGGAAGAAGCACTAACCCTTCATAAATAATGAGTTGATTGAACTGAAATGGATTTATCCTTAGAATCTTTTAAGGAGGTTTTTTCTGAACACTTAATTAGAGTAAGCATAGTTCGCTGGCCCCGGGCCGCGAGCGTCTAGCGACGTGTGCCCGGGGTTTTTTTTTGCTGGATTTTTTGGCCAGCGACTAATGCCGTGGCCAAAAAAACGGCAAACTACGTCTGCCAGCAAAAAAAAAAAAACGAAATCATATTTTTTTTAGATTTCTCGGGTTGGGGTCCGTAGCACACTTTAGATGTGCCCCCGTCTTGCCTTCCGCTGGGGCGGATGGGCCGCAGCCCCACTAGGGGGAGGGCAGCAGCCCTAGGAAAAAAACGGGGGGCAGGAGAGAACAACATTGATTGAATTGGTTATTTCTCCTTCCTCCATCCTTGAGATTTAATTTCAATCCAATTGCATATGTGCCCCCGTCTTGGCTTCCCCTGGGGGGGATGGGCCGCAGCCCCACTTGGGGGAGGGCAGCAGCCCTAGGAAAAAAACGAGAGACACAATGTGGGCCTAATAATCCTTGTTATGGTTTAGTAGCCCATACAGCTGTCGCTGTCTCTATTTTTACTTTAGATGGTTCTTGTTCAGTCTTTTCCATCTCAGACAGCAGCTGCTGCATGATTAGGGATCTCACAGCCTGCGCTCTTTAAGGCTATCAAACGAGGGTACATTATTCAAATCACAGTATCGAGCCATTTTTTTTCTCTATGAGAAAAAAAATTGAACAATCATATTTGTGTTTTTTGTCCCACCCCCAGGGGGGGTGACCCCGTTGGGGGTGGCCCAACAGGGCTATAATTAGCCTGCTCCCAGGGGGGAGCCAGCTTCCACCGGGAGCAGGTATCCGCTCCCAGCGGAAGCCTGTTTTTTTTTTTTTTGCTGGCAGACATAGTTTGCCTCCAGCAAAAAAAAACTGCAAGAATATTTATCGCAAAATTCATAACTCTAATTAGAGTACCCCCCCCACATTTTATTAACGAGTTGTCTGGTTAGGGGATATAGCTTAAATGGTAGAGTACTTGTTTTGCATATTAGTTATCCCAGTTCGAGTCTGGGTATCTCCAAATCGTAGATTTATATATATAAATATATATAAATTGACCACTACACTGTAGTGTAGTAGTAGACAACCCCCCTCCCCGTAGGGGGGGGGGCAAGCGTCTAGCCCCCGAGGGGCTTGTCCCGTCGGGGGTGAGTCCCCCTTGGGACTAGCGTCTTGTATTTATACAAGATGCTGAACGCAATTATTGCTTTAAGCAATAAAAGCGTCTAGCCCCGCAGAGCGGCGCTCGTCCCTGAGACCCTACGGGGAGGGGTGAGTCGGCGAAAGCTTCGACTAAGTCGAAGCTTTCACCGCCCCTTGGGACTAGCGCCTTGGTTTTCTAATTTTTTATTTATAAAAAATTGTAATAGCGCCGTCCCTCCAGGGGGGCAATCTATATATAAGTAAAGATATATACAACAAGTACATTGTATGCCACTATGATGGAGGGGGTGGTTCCCTATTTAAGAAGTAACATCATAGCAATTACATATGTTAACTGCTCTCAATATTCGCTATGTTATAAAACACTAATAAAACTCGTAGGATGGCTCAAACTACTTTTAAGGGTCCTTCCCCTGGAGGGGACGGCCCGCGGTAGCCCCCCCCCCTAAAGGGGGGGGGGCAAGAGGCCGGGAGGCCTAGGATTTTCAATATAAGTAATAAGAATACTTTCTTGTTATAATTGTTGTTAAATTGTAATGGTTTGAATTTGCTATTTTAATCATGATTTTAGTGATCATCTTACCATCCCTTCGGATTACCGCTATTTATTTTAAGTGGATTGCTCGGGCCCCCGGGGGGGTGGCCAGCGACTAGCGCCGTGGCAGTTTTTTAAACTGACACGGTCGCATTCCGCTGGCTTTTACTAAAGCCAGCGACTAGCGCCGTGGCAGTTTTTTAAACTGCCACGGTCGCATGGAGTGGGTGGTAAACCCCCCACTCCTAGCGCCGTGGCACCCCCCCGGTGGTTATATGTTACTCATTGCTGGGGTGTTAACAGGACTATTGTTAGCAGGTCCGGGCAATGGGGTATTGAGGGTTTGTTCCCAGTAACTACCCTTACTCAGAGTCTGGAGGTATTTATCTATTTAGTTGGAGCCTTAGTGCTTCTATTAGGAGAAAATTCTACTCTAATCGGTAAGGGTAAAGGATTGCCAGTATTAGCTGAATATTCTCTTATTGTATTATTTACAGTATTAGGTATGAGTAGTTTAATTTCAAGTAGTGATCTAGTTTCTATGTTCCTATCTATTGAACTACAAAGTTTTGCTGTGTATATTTATAATTGCCTGCGGGTATTAAGTAGTTTCGTATCATGTGTTTTACATTGCACGTACGAAACTGCCCCTACTGCACTAGCTTTTGCAACATACTGTGCTATTAAGGAAGCTGATGATTTACCAAGTGTTATGGAATTCGGGGATTTACATCTTACGTCCTCTCTTAAAGAGGCTAGAGCAGCCCTTAAGGGTAAATCGGGAATCTACTGTATCAAATGTACTGTGTTTTTTTTTTTTGGCTGGAGGCAAACTACGTCTGCCAGCCAAAAAAAAAAAAGGGGCCATGTATGTGGGTTCAGCTTCGGATTTATATGCACGCCTTCACGATCATGTAACGGGTCAATCAAGTAATGTACATTTACAGTTTGCTATCCAGAAATACGGTTTATCCGCTTTTACATTTTCTTTCGTAGAATTTTGCTCACCTTCTGAATTATTGTCTAGAGAGCAGCATTGGCTGGATTGGCTATTCTCTCAGCCCGCAATTTAAGATACAATTTCTTATCAACTGCTGGTTCACTTCTTGGATATAGCATACCAAGGAAGCTAAGGCAAAAATGACAGGATGGCCCCCCCCCTAACGGGGAGGGGGTTGCCCCCCCCCCCCTAAGGGGGGGGGGGCTAGTCCTCGGGGGCCCCCTCGGGGCTTTAAACCATGCCTATGGGAAAAGAGGGGATTTATCTCATCTTTATGGGAGAGTCTCAAACAATGCCCAGACAGTTTCTGTATATAATCTAGAGGGGGTTCTTATTCAATCTTTTTCTTCTCAGGTTCAGGCGGCTGAATGGTTAGGGGTTCATTTTACTACAGTTCCTCGATATTTGAAATCTGGGAAAGTCTTTAAGGGTCTCTATTTTATTAAACGTTCTTAACTTGGCTCTTAGCAAGAATAACTCTTTAAATTCCCTGTTGCTACCCTAAAAGCAGGGTATCGAAAAATATATATATATATTTTTTAATTTTTATATTATATATAAAAATCGATGCTTAGGCTCACTGACTCGATCAAACAACCCTCAATTTCTTATATGATTTTATCGCTTAGTCGGTGAGCCCTGGGCTCCTGGCGTAAGCTTACCCAGGAGCCCAGGGGGGAAACTCATTGCCAGCCAATAAAAGTAAAGGGGGTTTTCGAGATTCTCCCCTACGGGGAAATATACAAGCCAACATGTAAACATCTAGTATGCCATTATGGTGGAAGGTTCCCTGCTCGCCTCGGGCGAGCTGGGAACCAGCCCAGGCTGTCGCCTTGGCAGGTTCCCTATTTAAGAAGTAACATCATAATTAATACTATGTTATCGGCTTTATTCGAAACTCTAGTATCGGCTTTTACTGCCCATTGGATCAGCCCCTCTAATTAAATAAAAGTAAGGTAGCATGATTAATTCAAGATATTTCTTGATTAGCGAGTAAAGGGTATAGCAGGGGGTACATCGCAGATTCACCCACCTCCTCATCGTGTATTAAAGCCCCCGGGGTGGCCGAAGGGCGACCAAGTCCGCCGGCTGTTTTTCCCCCCTCCGCTCCTGGGTAAGCTTACCCAGGAGCCGATGGGGAGACAAACCCCCGGGGCCATGAACGAAATTTAGAGAGAAATTATACGTGCGGTCCCCCCCCCCTGTATAGCCTTTCGTTTTGGGCGTAGTGATTGGGCTAGTTTTATCCGATGGATCTCTTCAATTTCTAGGTCCGTTGGCCCTCCCCCGAGTGGGCGGGCCGTCCCCCCCGGGGAAGGAGTTAAAGCAGTGAATGCAGCCTAAGGAATAACTCAATCTCTAGCTCACTTTAAATATTTATGGGAGGGATATCTCCATTAATAATTTTACGGGATTCCAACCTGTGTTACTGCTGTGAAGTTATGTGACCTAAGGAGCGAGCGAGC